ACAACAGAAAAGTGGGTGAAGGGAGACGTCGGACAGGGCAAGATATGACAAAATAATAATTTATAAATTATGAAGGGCTCATGAGGGAGGGGGGACCGGGGAGGGAGGGGAAAAATGAGAACATAATGCCGGGGACTTAAGTGGAGAGCAAATGTTTTGAGAATGGTGAGAGCAATGAATGTACAAAGGTGCTTTACACAATTGATGTATGTATGGATTGTGATAAGAGTTGTATGAGCCCCAAAAAATGATTTAAAAAAAATCTTAACCAGAGCTATTAGACAACAAAAAGAAATCAAAGGCCGTTCCTTTTAATGGTGTCCCATATCATTCGTAGGCTTTTTTCTGATTCCTTTGCTTTTCTATTGATTGCTTCTCTTATTGGCTGTATTCAAAAGCATTGTCTTTGAGCTCACTAATTAGGGTTTTCTTTTTTTTTGATTCTGTTATTCAGCTCTTTTACCATGTTGTCTAATTATGTTATCTTACTATTCTTTTCTGGAATTATATTTGGTGTAGGCTATCTAGTTTTTCATTCATCTCCTCTATCACTGAAGGTGTCTAAATAAACATCATTCTGGATTCTATTTTTCGTACTTCCAGGGCCTCTTCTTCCACGTAATGCTTCTGGTCTGGGTCTGTGGCTGTTTTTCTTGACTTTTCTGATGTGTAACTGCAGTTAACTATTTTTTTCCGTGGCATCATGTTGCAGCTATTAGTCTTGGGTGGGCTTTCTGGGTTGTGTACGAGAAGTTAACTCTTTCTACATTGCTGGGTGACTGGAACTTTCCTTGGATATTGGTAGGGATGCCCAGGGCTTTCCTTGTTGGGTGGCCAGGCCTACCTTGGCAGGTCTCCAGGACCACCACAGCCTTCCTTGCTTGGGGAGCAGGGATGGCTGGAGCCTACCTGGTCAGCTGGTGTGGAGACTGCTGGAACCTACCTTGAATGGGGGCAGGAGATAGCCAGGATCTTTTTTGGGATGTCTATTTTTTTATGTCAATTTGCTATTCCAAGTGGTTACAGTTTGAAATTCACCTAGAAGTCTTGTTATTCCTTTTTTTTTTTCTTCAAAAATCATTTTATTGGGGGTCCCTACAATTCTTCTTTTTTAAAAATCATTTTATTAGGGGCTCTTACAACTCTTATCACAATCCATATACGTACACATCAATTGTGTAAAGCACATTTGCACATCATTCTCAAAAGTGCCTTTCTTAAGCTATGTTTTATTTTATTTATTTATTTATTGTTTGTTTGTTTTAAATACTTTTTGTTCATGATTTTTTTTTAGACATTTTATTAGGGGCTCATACAACTGTTAGCGCTATCCATACACACATCAATTGTGTAAAGTGCATTTGTACATCATTCTCAAAACATTTCCTCTCCACTTAAACCCCCGACATTAGGTCCTCATTTTTCCCCTCCCTCCCCGCTCCCCCTCCCTCATGAGCCCTTGATAGTTTATAAATTGGTATTTTGTCATATCTTGCCCTGTCTGATATGACAAAATACCAATTTATTCCTATTTTTGTTATCATTCTGTTTTTGTTCTTTAGTATCAGAAAATGTTATGACAAGCACCTAAAAATGAATTTCTTTTAGGAGAATAAGCAAAAATAATACTCCTAGGGTTCCAGTTAATACACAGATTTATTCCAAACAGAATGTGTTTAAACAAATCTCTGTAATCATTGAATGAATGCTGACAAGTTCTTTTAGGAACAGACTTGTCTTAGTCTCATTAGGGTGTCTACAAAAAAGATCCATTCAAACAATAGCTTCGGATGGGGATATGCTGGTCCAAGTGCAATTCAAGGCAGAGCAGTCCGCTCAGAAGGTTATGGCAACTGTATTTTGAGAGTCCAAGGGGGGTAATTTTCTTGAAGGACACAGAACAATCAGAATGACTTATTATGAAGAAGTTTTAAGAAAATTTAAAACTGCCTTAGCGAGAAAAAGGCCAGAAAAATTGGGTCAAGGAAGTTTTTCTTATCATAGCACTGCACCTGCTCATTCCTCTAGGGTAGCATTTTGTTAGTAAAGCTTACCCCTAGTCTTTTGAAAGCCCTGATCTTGCTTCTTCAAATTTCTCTTATTCCCCAAACCCAAAGAAGATCGAGAAGGAATGTGATTTGGGACCCTTTAAGAAGACAAAACTACTGTTTGATATGGTTTTAATCAAAGAATACAAAATTCTTCAGAAAAGGGATTAGAGAAATGGAAAGATCTAGATGGTAGATATGATAAAAAAACAATAGCATCACATTTTGATATTTTAAAAAATAAAGTTTCTATGATTCTACATCAGTATTTTAAAAATTCATCCTCAAATAGTGATAACCCCTTATCCTTAAAGTGATAACCACCTCAGAATGAATAAAAACCTTGACTTTAGTGCCAATGTCTGATAGACCAATCAGTTATCTGGATTGCATAATTACCACCGTTAGCTAGTAAAATGAAATTAAGGCATTCTTATTTGACCTGTAAGAATTATACCAATCCCAAACCAAATCCACTGTAATTCACAGTGATCCTATATAGGTTTTCTGAGACTGTAAAAAAATTTTTTTAATATTGAAAAAGTTTATATTTAGCATTAGCCAGCTGGGCTCACTTTAGATGATTCCAATTTTGTTGGCAACATCTAAAGGGTCATAGTCAGGAGCCAGTCAAACATATGCCTTCTCACCGTCAGGCCTGATCAAGGTGTTGACCTTGGCTACATCAGTGTCGTAGTAGAGCTTCACAGCCTGTTTGGTCTGGTGTTTGTTGGCCTTGACATCTACTGTGAACACAAGTGTGTTGTTATCTTCGATCTTCTTCATGGCAGACTCTGTGGTCAAGGGGAACTTGATGATGGCATAATGGTCCAGCTTATTTCTCCTTCGGAGGGTATTTGGGCTGCCTTCTTAGTCTCAGGGTCTTGGGCCGCTGGAAGGTGGGTGATGTGCGGATCTTTTTTTGCTTGGCTGTGGACGCCTTTCAGCACAGCCTTCTTGGCTTTTCAAGCCTTTGCTTTGGCTTCCGTTTGGGGAGGGGCAGTAGCTTCCTTCTTTGCCTTTGGCACCATCTTCATGAAAAGGGTCTCTTGAGTCTGTTCTCCGTAAATTTTTTATAAGAGCAGACAGCCTCATATCTCTCTATCAGAATGGCTAGTGGTTTTGAATCATTGACCTTGCAGTTAGCAGCAGAATGTTTAACTTTCCCCCCCCAACCCCCTCACCCTCCCTAGCTCCCACCCGATACCCCCCTATCTCCCAGAATGTTTAACTTTAAACACAATGTTTAACTCCTTGGGTAATAATAGTGCTTGTCAAAAGGTGTTTTGACTTAACTACATTAGATTTTCAATAATGCTAAACCATCAGTTTTAGTTTCTGTTTACTTTTCCCCCCTAAAAACATTATTTTGACATGCATTTTCCCTACTTTTATCTTGACAAGGTAGATATGGCAATAATTTCCTTGGTAATAACTAGTACTAAACTAGTCCCAAGGATTTGGAAATTGAAGAAGTACCAAAAGCCCAACTATTACAAGATGCTAGCACTCCATTTCCTTCCCACTCTACCCTTAAGTATATTATTACATGTTTCTGGGTTCTGCAATTCGCTGCAATATCCCATAGACCTCATGAAAGTTTGAGGAAATGTCTTACGTGGTGGGTGCTGTTCAGTCTACAATCTACTCCTAGCTTTTCCCAGTGATGAGATTGCATCTTCTGCTTGTCAGTGGACTCATTTTTATACGCAGTAGGATGGCACTGCAGGGAATCCTGTTCATAATTATTCACAGGCGAATCCTATCATGATTTTCCTGCACCTTCTTACCAGACCCATGCAGGGAAAGGTAGTTTGGTGGGAGTTACATTGTGCAATAAAATTTCACCTCACATTATAATATATTCTCTACACCTGGACTGTATTGTATTTAAGCATATATGACCTTGGATCTCTGGCAGAATGTTTCTAGAAGGCTTTGGCCTTCTACAAATCTTCGTCAGCCAGGCTTTTTTCCCAAGTCACTCTAGAGTGAGTTGTTTGCTTGTCCTCTGAACTGTAGCATATTATCCTTTATATCCATTACAAATAACAGTAATCAAGATAACCATTAAACAAAGGGTGTGGTCCAATTCAGATCTTAATCTCATCCTATTTGTTTTGTTCCCACATAATGCTCTCTAAAATGGGACTACAGCCATGGGTGTATGAAATTCAGATTTATAATATATCATGTAAAGGAATGTGGCTGGAATGGCCATTAATTGTGTATAACTTAGTAGATTTCTGGTTGATCATTAGCAATATCTATAGTTTCTGCTGTACACGTAATATTTTTAGTCACTATGCAGGAGTCAATCACACTTTACTAGTAGTTATTATTATTTTCTTTACAGCTTTGGTTCTGTGTATAATTTGTATGCAGATGAGGATGAAGAAATAGAGCCCTCTCCTTCTGGGCAACAAATAATTGAAAACTCAATAACTATGAATAAGATGAAAACACTGAAGGCTAAGCTGGAGACCATGAATATCAGCAAAAAGGTGAAGATACTGACATTTCTGTATTTTATCTGTAGGGCTCACAGTAATTTAGATCTCTTGATAATTGTAAGAAAACAAAATCTATAAAATGACACTTATTTTAAAAAAATGACACTTATTGCATGTTTCTGGTCTCAGTTATTTATGGAGATATTAAAGGGGATAAAATGATTTTATTTAGGCTAACACCACATCTAAAGTGATTAAAATTAATTTAAGATAAATTATGGTTTAAAAAATATCATAGCACTATAAGTAAAAAGGATAAAAAGGTAGCCTAATGTGAATTGCATAATCATTACCTTTTAAAATCCCTTCATATTTATTTATTATGCTTATGGCGCCTTCAATATTCTGATGTTGATAGGTAAAATGCATGTATTCAGCTTTAGTAGATACTGTTGGTTTTCTAACATGAGTTGAACCAATATATACTCTTCAAAACTTTTTTAATTGCTTTTGATAATTTACATTTCCCCCTTCTTTTTTGTGTTTTCCTCCCTCCATACAAACTCCATGCCTCCTAAAGTTCCTGTCTAATCTTGTTTTTGTCAATTTGATCCTATACCGATGGTTCTTAAGAGAGTACAATGCTCAAAGAAGAGACTTCTTTAATATTTAAGCTCGAATATTGTTTTCTTTCAGGAGCTCTATTGGTATAGTGTGTTATGTGTTAGGCTGCTTACCACAAAGTTGGCAGTTCGAAACCACTAGCCACTCTGGGAGAAGGATGAGGTTTTCTACTCTCATAAGGAGTTACAGTCTTATAAGGGTTCCTGTGGATGTGTGTGTGTGGGGAGGGCAGGGATAAAGGGGAGCTGATATCAGAGTTCAAGAAGAAAGAAAATGTTTTCAAAATGAAGGTGGGGGAGGGAGGGGAAAAAAAGAGGAGCTTATACCAAGGGCTTGTAGTATTAAGTTAAATTGCGCAGGGGGTGCTGAGGGGCCAGCCCCCACCACTACTACTACTCACGGGTTTAGTAATGCACAATTGTACGGTTGAGATAAATAAGTATTATATTAAAGTCACCGAGAGCATGAGAGATATTACAATAATGCAGTTAGACACATTACATGGTAGCATTGCTCACCTCAGCCTAGCTTGGTGGTCCACGTGGAGAGAGGGGGAAGGGAAAGAGGGCAAGGGAACAAAGGAGAGAGGATGGGAGAGGAGAGGGGGAAGAGGGGAGCGAGAGAGAAAGGTCAGAAAGAGAGGTCAGAGAGAGTCAGAGAGCTCTATATTGCTGACCCATGCCTATATACCTTTTGGGGGCATGCCAGCCCACCAATTATAGGTAGAGACATACGTCACAGGAAAGGATTACACTATAGGTTACACAGTAATAAAGGGGTGGTCTAGGAGGTGGTCTCTGGGTCTCCATAGGAACCATTATCAGTAGGGTGAAAACTCCGCCTACAGGAGCCTGTCCATTGTCCCCAGAGGCAGGGAGCAGAGCCCACTGTAGTTTGGCAACTGATTGCCCTCAGGGGGGGAATGCCTGTGCATCTGACCTCCCCCCACAAGGGTTCAAGTAGAAAATGGTGATGGCAGCATATGTACAAATATGCTTAATACAATTGATGTATGGAATGTTATAAGAGCTCCCAATAAAATGATTTTAAAAAAAGAAAAGAAAAAAAAATTATGGTGGCATCCAATTGTACAATTATGATTGATCTAATGTGGGCTTTGTTGCTTCTCAGCTAGATGGCCGCTTGTTTATCTTCAAGCCTTTAAGACCCTACACACTATATCTTTTGATAGTTGGGTACCATCATCTTTCTTCACCTCATTTGCTTACGTACCCACTTTGTCTTCAGCAATCGTGTTTGGAAAATGAGCAACATGGAATGCCAGTTTAATAGAACAAAGTGTTCTTGCACTGAGGGAGTACTTGAGTAGAGGCCCAATGTCCATCTGCTTGCTACCTTAATACTAAACCTATAAATATAGGCTCATAGATCTATTTCTCTATCTTCATATGTAAATATATTTACATATATATACATGCCTGTATTTAGATCTCTATAAATGCCCTTTGCCTCCTAGTTCTTTCCTCTATTTCCTTTTACTTTCCCCTTGCCTTACTATCATGTTCAGCCTTCATTTGGGTTTCAGTAATTCCTCTCGGTTACATTGCCTTTGATCAAGCCCTACCAGGCCTCCTACATCCTCCTCACCATCGATTTTAGATCACTTGTTGTTCCAAGTTGTTCCATTGTCTCTGGGTGTGTTAATACCCACTTCCTTTCCCCTGCCTCCCCCTCTCCTGCATCCTCCAGGAACTGTTGATCCCATTGTTTTCTCCTCTGGATTGTTTATCCTGCCTATCTTATCTAGATAGACATGCAGAGATAATAATATGCACAAAAACAAGACAGAGAAAATCAAAGCAACAAAACAAAACAAAACAACAAAAACCAATGATATAAAAAGAAAAACCTATAAATAGTTCAAGTATTTTTGGTATTTCCCGGGGACATCATTGCTCTGCTCCCCTTGCTGTTCTGTTTCATGCTCTTAGTGTTTTGCCTCTGTGTGGTTGGGTCAGATTGGGCAGAATAGCCTCATCTTTGTCCTGTAGAGCAGCTGGTTAGTTTGAACTACTGATCTTGTGGTTAGTAGTCAACATGGAAAAGAAAAGTTCTGTCACTCAAATGTTTATTTTATTTGTATTCATGGCTTTGATTTGTAGCTTTCTGGTAATTCATGACATTGGTCACCTTTTCATGTACTCTTTGGTGAAGTGTCCATCAGTCCTTTTGTTAATTTATGATTGGATTATTTATCTTTTTTGTTGTTATTGCCATAGTTTTGCATATATTTTAGTTGTTAGATTTTTATTTGATATATGACTTTCAAAGTTATTCTCAAAGTCTTTTTTCCCCTTTTTGGTAATCTTTTGATTAACCAAATATTTTAATTTTTCTGGGGTCCCATTTATTTATTTTTCCTTTTTCTGTTTGTGCTTTTGTTATTATATTAGATAACCCATTGTTAAAAACTAGGTCTGAAAGTATTACCCCTATGTTTCTGGTTTTTGTTGTTGGTCTGATTTAGATGAATGTTTAAAGAGCAAATCACCAATTAAAAAATTATAAATAATTTTACTGGGGGCTCTTACTGCTATTATAATTATCCATACATCAGTTGTATCAAGCACATTTGTACATATGTTGCCATCATCATTTCCAAAACATTTCTTTTTATTTAAGCTCTTGGTATCAGCAACTCTTTTTCCCCCTCCCTCCTCAACCCTCCCACCCTCATGACTTCTTGATAAATTATACATTATTATTATTTTTATATCTTACACGTTCACTGTCACCCTTCACCCACGTTTCTGTTGTCCATCACCCTGGAGTGCGGGGGTGGGGTGGGGTGGAGGGTGGGTGGGGGTGTTATATGCCGATCATTGTGATCAGTTCGCCGCTTTCTTCCCCAACCTTCCCCCTACCCTCAGCTACTCCCATTATTTTTCCTGAGGCTTTTCTGTCCTGGATTCCATGTGTTGAGAACTCTTATCTGTACCAACGTACATGCTCTAGTCTAGCTGGATTTGTAAGGCAGAACTAGAGTCATAATAGTGGGGGTAGGAAGCATTAAAGAACTAAAGGAATGTTGTGTGTTTTGTCAGTGCTATACTGTACTCTGGATGGCTCGCCCCTTCCTTGGGACCTTTCTGTGAGGGGATGTCCAATTGTCTACAGTTGGGCTTTGGGCCTCCACTCCAACCCCAATCCCTGTGAGTTTCTGAGACTGTTCACAGAAGTAGAAAGCCCCATCTTTCTTCCACCCATACAGGACCTTCTAATGTGATACTTTTCAGAGCAGTTAATAGTCATAAACGAACAGCATCTAGTTTGGTTTTCATGTTTGTAGAGACTGATGTTTGCATATTCCTTTAGTACCTTGGACTAATTGCTTTCATAGCTCTTTCACTTTTCATTATTCTTCTTTCCTCTAGATGGGGAGAGACCAATGGTTGCACCTTACATGGCCACTAGAGCTTTTAAGACCACAGGTGCTGCTAACCAAAGCAGGATTTAGAACATTATCATTTGGACGTAGGTTATGCCAATTGACCCTGGTTTCCCCTGAATCTATAGTCCCGACTCCCCCAGCTCAGTGACTCATTTCCTCAAGGAGTTTTGTTATGTTTATTAGTATTTATTACTTTCCCTCCTCTATGTCCCAACACATTTGTGGATATATTTGTGAAGATACAGCTATCCTGTGAAATCTACATATATTCATGGTTATACCCACATTTAACCTCCCATGCTTGTTCAGTCTGCATATCTATCTAAGCATCTAAAGCACCATTATTGTAAGTATATATACACATCAGTATTTGCCTTGTTGCCTTCATCTTGCAAACTTCCCAATGTCTTGCCCTGCCTCCATCCTCTTTTACCAATAACCCCCTTGTTTTGTATTGTATTCCTCTTAAACCAAGTTAATACCATTCTACTCTCTATCCTGTGATTTCCCCTCTTTCCCTTTTCCTGCTGCCTATTATAACCCTTAAAGTAGGCTTCTTTTATATACTGTTCATAACCTGTTATCAGATTTACTGTTGACGGGTTCCATTCCAGTGCTACAGAAATTCCCAGAATAATATAAGACTGACAAAACTTGTCTGTCTGATTTTATATTTGGGAGGCAAGGGGGAAAAAGAAAAAGAAGGGAAAAAAGTAGGTTTCTTTTAGTGTGAAAACTTTTTTCTTGACTTTTTATAATAGTGGTCTCATACAAATTTGTCCATTTGTGATTGGCTGCATTTCATTCAGCATGATACCCTCCTGTTTAATCCATGTTATGAAGTTTTTCACAGATTCATTGTTACTCTTTAACATTACATAGAATTCCACTGTATACATGTACCAAATTTTATTTATCCATTTTCTTGTGGTGGACATTTATGTTGTTTTCATCTTTTTATATTACAAATAGTGCTACAGTGAACATGAGTACATCTATCTAATTGTCCCTTGGC